AATAAAATCATTAATATCAGCACGTATTGATGTAAGAATAAAAAAATTTTCCTAATTATATTTTAATTCTTCTTTATTAATAGACTTTAGAACAATTAAATGATCAATTTAATGAATTTGATCAAACAGTTCGTACATTATCTGATTGGGTTCAAGAACAAACATCTGATCTTGAATTTATGCGTTCAAGAAATATGGAAGTTAGTGTTAAAAATAATTTACGAAAATGCGATGTAAATTATTTTCTCGTTTTTTTTTCTCGTATTTGAATTGTTTAAATAATTTTTTTGTTTGTTTTTGCTTTTCATTTTAATAGGAAATTAAATATTAATTAACAACTAAACAACAAATTCTAACATTATTAAAATCATATAGGAATCGAATATCATCAACATCAACAACATTTCATATATCTGATCAAGATGGTACAATACAAAATTTACGTCATATGCTTGATCATTTATCACCATCAATTGAACAATTAAAATTAAAATCAAAATCAATTTTATCTGATTGGCAAGAATATAATCGTGTTTTACTTCAAATAGAAAAAATTATACGTGAAGCTGAAGCTGGTATTGATCGTGTTCAAACAAGTCCAATCAATGTTGAAACTTATGAAATGAGTACAAGAAAAATTCAGGTTATAATAATATGGTCGATGGATTTTTTTTGTATCATTATCAAAACTAATGATAAATAGAAGATCATTGATAAATTTGTATAAAAAAAGCCTATTTTATACTATTCTTAATATCAATATATAAGGTAGGTCATTGTTTTTTGAATAACTTTCGATAGGAATATCATAGAGATCTGTGGTTTTTTTACCATTCAAGAGAGAAGACTCGGGGCCATAGAAGTATGTCGAAATTCCATTAGTTAGCAATTGATCAATCAGGTTAGTTTACAGTGGAGATTTTTGAAAACGATATTCAGAAGTTATCACACTTATGATATAATCAATTGACAGGAAAAATTCTTCGCTTTTGATTCACACAAGGCTGCCATTCCTAGGATGTTTTGTTCGAGAGTTATAAGGCTTTTTCTGAGGTCTGTGATCACCTGGAAAAGCCACTAGACAGGAATAATTCACAGTACTGAG